TACATACATACACACATACATAAAGATAAAGGTGTGTATATATATATATATGTGGTTACAGTTTTGATTAGGCTCTGACCAGGTCCGTCTGCCTGTTAGCTGTTGACTGGCATTGTATGCTCCCCTAAGCTCGCTGTTGCCGCGATGCAGGTTGCAGCTGAACAGAACCCGCGCGGGGCCGATGCTCCTTCTCCAAGGCAGCCAAATCCTCCCTGGCCTCCGAGAACTCACCCTCCTCCATGCCTGCAAAAGAGGATTAGCTGAGGACGCATCACAGGCATGGAATCGTTGCAACAGGACAACAGGCTGCGTCACGATGACTCATCGAGGTTCAGCTCGCTCCCTGCAGCGGGCCTTCACCCACATAGTGGTGCACGAAGGCTCGCTTCCTGGTGCGACTAGCATGTGGGCCGTACCCACGATTCCCACGCCTCAAAGGCTACTAATTCCGAAAGAGTACAAGCGAATGAGATTAGGAAGCTCATTGCCCACAACTCAACTCTGGGCCTTCGGAAAGCCCGAACCACAGCCTCCGAATCTTCACTCCTAAACCCAGAGACTTTGACAGGGTTAGAACACAGGACACTTCAGCACCGAGCCGCGAGTACATCAAGTCGAACTTGTGGTCGATGCGAGAGAAGACCTCCTTGGGTATCCCGTGAATTTTCATGCCTTCTCCCATGCAGACCTTCGATCTGAAGTTGAGGATCTGCTATACGCTTTTACCGCAGGTTCGAACGCCCACGTACGTACCTAAATCTTGCAAGCTCACGAGGCCCCAACCTATAGGCCAGGGCTCTACTAAGCCGTTGGTTGCGTGGGGGGCGCCTACTACCACGGCTGTCTGGGCCATGCCAAAGCGACTCACCCTGCAGAACCCAAGCAAGAACGCAGCTACTGAGGTTTGGGCAAGTTTCCCTCTAACGCTCCTCCGAAAGACTCTGAAAGCAGGAATGCCGTCCAGCTGCCGCGATGGCCGTGGAGTTGGAGATCATGCAGCAGGCCCGCATGACTTTCGCCAAGTCGCCACCTTGCCGCGGCGGGCGGCCCCCACTCAGCAGCGTCCGAGCCCTCGCACCCAAAACCCCAAACCTGCCGAAACTGTCGAAACTTGCGAGAGCTTACAGTGCCCCCGCACGAACCGCGCAGCCTGGGACCACAGTGGGCGGCTGGTAGTTGATGCCGCACTTGAATCCTGTGGGGCACCAGTCCTGGAAAGGCTTCGCCGGAGAAAGGCTCATCGGACCATCGATATCAAGAACTTTAGGTGAGCTCTCAATCGCATGAGAACACCATGTCGTGCACGAAGGACCAACAGCTGCCGAGACATCGATCCAAATCTAAACGCATCTACAGCGCCCCCTGCCAGCTTCATTCTCAATCAAGTCTGTGTCGGCTTGCAAGGTCTTGGACGCAACAACGTTCTCGAATGCAACCCAGACTCCACGAACTGGATGGTGCGCTTGGTCTTGATTGTGGCCACGGCTGCATTCACATCCTTTGGCACAACGTCGCCGCCTGGCCGTGAACGCACTCTCAAGATGCATCTCATTCATGGGGCCGCACTGCACTGGTTGCAAACCCGAATTCGCGGCTG